TTTATTTTGGAAGACTGGGCCTTATGAATGGGTCTCAGCTGCTCATCCCATCCTTAAGGTCTTCCACCGACAAGTCATTAGCTGCAGTCAGCATTGCTAAGGAAGGCTTCAGGGCAGGGGTGGGGGGCACATATGTGAGATGCCCACAGGGGTCGTGCTTCGAGGGAGGTACATCACACCCAAGGCAGAAGCTGAATGTACCCTGCAAAGGGTCGTGGTGGTTGATTGGCTATGCCATATGTAGTACATGTTGGGGGTTGCCTATGGTGGCTCTTCTGGGTGCCACATGTTTAACTTCTGGCTTGGGGGAGGCAAGGAGGTGATGAGCAGGGTGGTACCCTAAGACCATAGACATATGGCAGCTGACATCCCCTCCCCTTGTGTTCTCCTGCCAGGTGGCGTCATCACCTACATTGGTTCCAGTGGCTCTTCCCCGAGCCGCACCAGCCCTGAGTCCCTCTACAGTGACAGCTCGAATGGAAGCTTCCAGTCCCTGACCCAAGGCTGCCCCACCTACTTCCCACCATCACCCACTGGCTCCCTCACCCAGGACCCAGCTCGCTCCTTTGGGAGCATTCCACCCAGCTTGAGTGATGATGGCTCTCCCTCTTCATCTTCCTCCTCCTCCTCTTCCTCCTCCTTCTATAATGGGAGCCCCCCAGGGGGTCTACAAGTGGCCCTGGAGGACAGCAGCCGAGTGTCCCCCAGCAAGAGCACCAGCAGCATCACCAGTGAGTACATTTCCAGATGATCCAGGGAAAGGAAGGTGGCAGACCGAGGTTGGGAGTTGGTGTCCATGTGAAAGTTATTCCCAGAGCCTGCCCTGGCCTTGGAGATTTCTCCTAGAGTTGCATCAGCTACTGTTGAGCCCAGTCTGGTCATTTGAGTGCCCCCTGGATACTGGGGCTCCTCCTTAGTTTTTCCCCCAGAATCTCCAGCCCAGAAAACCTTCAACTCTGACCACTCAGACATCCGTCTCGCTCACCTGCTGCCCCTCTCTTCCCACAGAGCTCAATGGCATGGTGCTACTGTGTAAAGTTTGTGGAGACGTTGCCTCGGGCTTCCACTACGGTGTGCATGCCTGTGAGGGCTGTAAGGTGAGGCAGGTCGGGGGTGAGGACAGGGGCAGGTGACGCCCTCCCCCAGGACTCGGAGGCCTGGCCTAGATGGAGATGCTCACTAGCTGCCCCTGCCTTCTAGGGCTTTTTCCGTCGGAGCATCCAGCAGAACATCCAGTACAAAAGGTGTCTGAAAAATGAGAGCTGCTCCATCGTCCGCATAAATCGCAACCGCTGCCAGCAGTGTCGCTTCAAGAAGTGTCTCTCCGTGGGCATGTCCAGAGATGGTGAGGCAGCAATGTTGCCCCTCGAGCATTCCCCTTCCGTTTCCGGATTAACCCCTCCCTGTAAGAAGTCCCAACCTGAGACACGTTATCCCGGGAGGGGAGTCTCATTTGCATAGGGGATGCCCATACTTCATCCTCTTGGGTAAACACAGATCTTTCCCATTAGTCCCTCTGGTCACCTCCTACCGAAATCCCTACTTGGAAAACCCCCTCCATGGGTGTGGCCTTGCTGGTTTTAGTTGTGATGGAACCCCCAGCCTTCAGGGTCTTGCCCTTTCAGGAGAAAGGAAGGAAGAGAAGCATGTGAGTGTGTATGAAAACTTCCTGACCCTGCTCTCATCCTGTCACAGCTGTGCGTTTTGGGCGCATACCCAAACGGGAGAAGCAGCGGATGCTCGCTGAGATGCAGAGCGCCATGAACCTGGCCAACAACCAGTTGAGCAGCCAGTGCCCAATGGAGACCTCGCCCGTCCAGCACCCAACCCCAGGCCCCGTGGGCCCCTCACCACCCCCCGCTCCAGCCCCCTCACCCCTGGTGGGCTTCTCCCAGTTCCCACAACAGCTGACACCTCCCCGATCTCCAAGTCCTGAGCCCACAGTGGAAGATGTGATATCCCAGGTGGCCCGGGCCCACCGAGAGATCTTCACCTATGCCCATGACAAGCTGAGCTCACCTGGCAACTTTAATGCCAACCATGTATCAGCCAACCCTCTGGCCACCACCCCACATCGCTGGGAAAGTCAAGGCTGCTCGCCTGTTCCCAATGACAACAACATCATGGCCGCGCAACGTCATAACGAGGCCCTGAATGGTTTACACCAGCCTCCCTCCTACCCTCCTGCATGGCCCCCTGGCCCTGCCCAGCACAGCTGCCACCAGCCCAACAGCAATGGGCACCGTCTATGCCCCACCCACGTGTACCCAGCCCCAGAAGGCGAAGCACCTGCCAGCAGCCCATGGCAAGGCAACTCCAAGAACGTTCTGCTGGTGAGGGCATCTGGGGTGAAGTGGGCAGGGGGCCTGCAAGACTGGATTTAGCATAGGGCAGCTGGGTGTGCCCGGAGGCTAAAACAAGAATATCCTCTTCCCAGGGGAGGATGCTCAGGCCTGGAGCAAGGGATCTGCCTGGGGAATCCCTGATCTCCACCTGGCACCTGATTTCTGCTTTACCCGAAAGACCCCTCCTCCCGGGCCACAGCCTCTCACCCAGCGCAAATCATGGGCCCAAACCTGTGGGGTGGGGAGCTCATCTGAGCTAGCCTGGCTGATCCTCCCCTCCCCAAATCCCTTCCTCCTCCAGGCGTGTCCAATGAACATGTACCCACATGGATGCAGTGGGCGAACCGTGCAAGAGATCTGGGAGGATTTCTCCATGAGTTTCACACCCGCTGTGCGAGAGGTGGTAGAGTTTGCCAAGCACATCCCAGGCTTCCGTGACCTTTCTCAGCACGACCAGGTCACTCTGCTGAAGGCTGGCACCTTTGAGGTGAGTGACCCTTTGTGCTCCCCACTCGGCCTAGGGAAGCACCCAGCAGGAAATTTGGCATCTGGGGCAGCAGTGTCTCTGAAAGGCTTTGGAACCCCAGTACCTTTGTCCTTAGACTCTGACTGAGGAGGGAGGGAGGGGGCAGAACATCTCTCACTCCTGCCTCAGGAGGCTGGCACTTCTGTCTTCTCAGCTGGGGTCTAGTCACATCCCATTGCCTTTAAAATAACACTTTCGGGCACACTGTACCCCCGTTCTAGGCCTGAGCAAATTAGTTTTGGTGAAGTGGCTTGCCCAAGGTCACAGGTAGTGACTAAGTTGCGACTCAGATTTAGGCCTGTTGGATTGCAAAGCCAGTGTGGGATGTTCTCCCTCCTTCCACCTGCTCTCCCACCTCCCGTTACCCATTTGGAAATCATCCCCACTCTTTACTGAGAAATCTAGTAAACCCTTCAGGAAACGTGAGGGGTGAACCGGCACGTGCCCCTGCCACCTCACCCAGATGGCTTCCCGCTGTAGGTGCTGATGGTGCGCTTTGCCTCGCTGTTCAACGTGAAGGACCAGACAGTGATGTTCCTGAGCCGCACCACCTACAGCCTGCAGGAGCTCAGCGCCATGGGCATGGGCGACCTGCTCAATGCCATGTTCGACTTCAGCGAGAAGCTCAACTCCCTGGCGCTGACGGAGGAGGAGCTGGGCCTCTTCACCGCGGTGGTGCTTGTCTCTGCAGGTAAGTCAAGCTTGCGCCTGAGCCTGACCCCGGGGAGGAGGCGGACGCAGTTCAATTGAACACACCTTTTATGGAGTACCTACTCTATGCCAGGCCCTGCACTGGGCACTGGCGATACAGACATGATTCAGACACAGTCTAGCTTGGGAGACAGACTCATGCCCGACTAATTATAAAACAGTGAAATAAGTGTCACAGTAGAAGCATGAACCAAGGGCTTAGGAAGCACACACAACTATTTCTGCCTGGGGAGCTGGGGAAGGAGGTGACACTGGAGTGGGGCCTCAAAGGACAAGTGAGCTATTGCCAGGCAGGGGTGGGGTGGGGGTGGAGGAGTGGGGGTGGGGAGGCATTCAAGCAGAGGGAATTACTGAGCAGAAAGCAAGGGAGCCTTGGATAGGTTTGGCCTGTTTAGGGGAGGAGAGCGGCCTTGTGGGCTGGGAGGTGCCCAGCCCTGCTGAGCCCATGCTCCCAGCTCTCGGGCACCTCCTGCTCTGGGGCAGAGGCCTGGGGGGAGGACTTGTGCTTCCCTCCTCCTCCTTCCCCTGGGCCCTCTGAGGGGCTTCAGGGAGAGGCTGCATTGCCCGCTGCATCCTCCTGGCAGACCTCGGGGTCCTCCTGGCAGACCTCGGGGGGGTCCTGGCAGACCTCGGGGGGCTCCTGGCAGACCTCGGGGTCCTCGTCAGAGGAGCTCAGGGAGCTCGTCTCACTGCTGTCGTCTTCCCCACAGACCGCTCGGGCACGGAGAATTCCGCTTCGGTGGAGCAGCTCCAGGAGACGCTGCTGCGGGCTCTTCGGGCTCTGGTGCTGAAGAACCGGCCCTCGGAGACTTCCCGCTTCACCAAGCTGCTGCTCAAGCTGCCGGACCTGCGGACCCTGAACAACATGCATTCCGAGAAGCTGCTGTCCTTCCGGGTGGACGCCCAGTGACCCGCCCGGCCGGCCTTCTGCCGCTGCCCCCTTGTACAGAATCGAACTCTGCACTTCTCTCTCCTTTACGAGACGAAAAGGAAAAGCAAACCAGAATCTTATTTATATTGTTATAAAATATTCCAAGATGAGCCTCTGGCCCCCGCCCCCCGAGCCTTCTTGTAAATACCTGCCTCCCTCCCCCATCACTGAACCTCCCGCCCCCCCTATTTAAACCACTCTCTCCCCTCTAATTCTCTAGCCCCCCAGTTTGTTCTATTCCTGTCTCAAATCCAATAGTTCACAGCTGAGCTGGCTCCTGTGGTGTGTGCTTGTTGGGGGCGGGGCGGGGCGGAAATAATGCCAAGGCTGGGGCACACCTCCATCTGGTCAGTCTGTGGGGTGGGTACTCTGCCAGCAGATGGGAGGGCACAGGGAGACGGCACACAAGTCTAAGGGGGGCGCCCACGGGGGTTATTTTCATCATATATTTATTACATAAATATATAGTAAAATAGACGAGCAACAATTACCATAAAAATATCTTTCTTTAAAATCCTGACCCAAAACACAACGGGGTGAAAAATCGCACATAACAGACATACTGATTGTCAACATGGGGCAGGAGTAGGAGCCCCCCAAGTCACTCCTACTGGCCCCACCCCTGGGGAAGGGAACTGCCTCCTTCCCTGTTTCTGGCCACAACCCCCCTCCCCCCCCACCCCAGCACCAGCTTCTCATACATTCAGTAGCGCCTCCAGGGAAGTGTCCCCCTCCCCCCACCCAGGAGTTCCCAGGGCAGGAATTACCGTCCCTGTGGACGGTGTCTGTCACACGCCCTGCCCTCTCCCAGCCCTGTAGACCCGCCACCGGGAGAAGGCATAGGGGCTCCTCCACCCCCACCCTCCCCAAGTCTGAGCAGGGAGGAGGCTGGATGAGGTATGTGTGTTATGAGTGATAGAACGGGGAATACTGAGATGGAGAGGCGATGGTGGGGGTGGGGTAGTGGTCATGGCTCTGGCACCCCCTTGTCCTGGCCTGGACCCCTCATTCTATTCTCAGCAGCCCCTCCTCCCACCAATACTGCACCTGCTGCCCCACCCTGCCTGCCCTAGTGCCCTGGGCCAATACTGGGGAGGCAATGCTAAGCACCCACGTCAAGGCCATCCCCCTCATTAGCACCAATGGCCCCCAGGAGAGGGCCCTGTCCCCCACTTCCAAAGCAGGGGCTGGGACAGCTGCCTCTCTAGAGCAGGTTTGTGGCACTCCTGAGTCCCCCCCCCCAGCTCCTCCCCCACCACATGTACTCGCTCACACATTCACACAGAGAAATGCACACATTCACCCCACATCACAGAGTGAGGGGGAAGGGTCAGGGGAGGAGTGGGGGATCACAGCTCATATGATTGGGGCGGGGTCTGGGGATTCCCAAGTGCCTGTAAGAGGCCACGCCTCTTCAAGGCCTTTTCTCCACCATGTCCATGGCTGAGAATGGGGAATGGGGGGGCGAAGGGGGGCCGGAGGGACGGGGGAGACAGCAGACAGGTCAGGAATTCCACTGGGCCCCCAGGGGTAGGAAGAGGGTACAAGAGGGCTTGCCTATAGGACAGGAGGAATACAGGAACCAGAGCCCCAGGAGAGAGAGAGGGAGAGACAACGACAGCATGTGCAGCCCACGTGCCCAAGGGGGCGGGGCAGGCACATGCACAGGTGACAGCACAGGTGACAGCGGATGCTCTTCTAGGCCCTCCCCTCTGCCCAAAACCGGAACAGCAGGGGAAGGACATGCCCTGATGGGCAGCATAGCATTGCCTTTGTGTGTGTGTGTGCGTGCGCGTGTGCGTGCGTCTGTGTGTGTGTGTGTGTGTGTGTAGGGGGCTGTGGCAGGCTGAGGGTCAGGGTGGGGTGGCAGGTTCCCCACAGCTTAAGACATTTTTGCCCCAGTAGTGCAAAGCGCAGGAAGCCCTGGCACCCCTCCCCCCTGCCCCATTCCCCATGGCTTCCGGGGGCATCTATGTCCACCCATCCATCCTCCCGCTGCGGAGTGGGCGAGAGCCAAGGGGAGGAGGAGGGTAACTGACCCAAATGCAGACCAACAGAGCACTCACTCCTCACCACGAAGGTGGGAGGTGGCTCAAGCCAAAGTCCCTGAATTAGAGAAAAGAGGAGGGGGAATGGGTCCCGGGCGGAGGGGCGGGCTGGCCTAAAGAGCTTCAAAGAAGAAAGGAGGAGCACCAACCGCCCCCTCCCCAGGGGCCCCAACGAAGTGCTATTAATCTAAGCATCCCATTCCTAGGTGCCTGCCCACCCGGAGTCTGGGTTCGTGCGTAGAAGCGGGAGTCGGGGCGGAGGAGGGCAGAGGTTAGGGAGAGCCCAGAAGACATATGGGAAACAGTCCTAAGGGGGCGGAGGCCCTGGGAGCAGCCCCGAGCACACACCCTCCTCGCCCTAGAGCAGAGCATCTGGATTGGAGCGGGTACAGCAGGATGTGAGGAGGGTGGGAGCTTGAGCCACAGTTTTTCCTGTGTGGGTGCCAAGGTGCAGAAGGAGTGGGGGGATGGGGATGGACGGACAGGGGAGGCCCCTGGGGCTGGGCACTTGAAAGGGGAGCTGTGTGGGCAGCAGGGCAGGCTGGTGAGGGGCCAGCTGGCATCCAGCGTGAGAGGTAGATGGAACTCAGCGGGCACGAGTGGCAGAGAGCAGAGGAAGTACTGGGATGGGGGTGCCAAAGGGGCACAGGGAGGGGCAAGGCAAGGGGCGGGTGGCCAGGACCCTGTTGTGTTAACTCACAGCTCTGATCGGCAGCCCTACCTTTAGGGACCTTGTGTGGGGGGCAGTTCTCTGATCTGGGGGGAGGAGGGGTAGTTCTCAAAGTGCATGGGGGTGGTAGGGGGGGTCCGCCCCTCTGGCCAGCCTCAGTTAATAACTTAATATTATCTCTCTCTCTCTCTCTCTCTCTCTCTAGCAATCGTTCGCTCGCTCTCTCTTTTTCTTTTTCTGTCTAGTTTTTCTTCATTTATCTTCTCCCCTTGCCTGGTTTCCAAAGTGCAGTTAGAATGACTATAATTTTTAACCTCCGGGGAGGAGCCAAGCCTTTCTCCGCACCCAGGCATCTGGGGAAGCAGAGAGGCCCTTAGCCTGAGGGGGAATCTAGGCCAAGGAGCTAGACCGGGGCCTCTCTCTCTCGTGTGTGTGCAAGGGGCGAGCTGAGGGCCTGTCCCCCGACTCCACACTCCTGTCCCCTACCGTCAAGATGGCTTGTCCACTCTCAGTCCTCCCTTCCTTCCCCTACCTTCTCGGAGGATGGGGCCCACGGTCCCTCCCAGCCTCCCACACTGTCCTTTCCATGGCAAGTTCATCTGCGTGCCCGGTGCCAGGGCAGGAGGCTCTGAGGAGGGACGGGGTAGTGCGGGTGTGTGTGGGAGCTGCATCTATCCGAGGACGAGAGGGAGGAGAGAAGAGGTGTGGGGGGTCTCCCTCAGCCCCCAGCTCTGCCCCTTCTCTCCAGGCTCCTCCCCACCAGCTCCGCACACCCTCTGGCCGCCTGAGGCTTTAGACTTCCTGATCCTCAAAGACCTCGAGGAAGAGTGGGGGGAAGAGTTCGGTGGGGCACTCGACTTTCATGTGGAGGAAGCGGCTGGCGTGGCAGGCCCCGATCATGCGGAGGTCAGTCACCTTCATCAGCAGCTTGGGCCAGAAGTGCGGAATGTTGTGTTTGCGGTGGTTGACGTAGTGCTCGAACGCCAGCAGGTACGCCTCCTGACTCTTCTCGATCTTGTCCACGCACAGCAGGCCCGAGCGGTCTGCGGGGAAGGGGAGGCGTGAGGGTGAGAGGGTGAAGGGAGACAGAGGGGAGGGGAGGGGCAGGGAGGAGGAAAAC